GGTCCTGGTCCTCCCCAGTGGAAAGCTTCTCCAAGGTTTTCACTGGGGTGTGACTAATTTTCTGTTTGTAAAATTCTTCATAATTCCTTTCATCAAGTGATGATTCACTTGGTGGAATGTTTTTCCTGAAGATCAATATCTTCAGGTTTCATAATGTTTTAATAAAAGATATTTCTGTTGTTATCTTGAATTGTTTAGAATTTTCGAGATATTTGTTTTTATGTACGACGTAGCGTTTCCTACGCTGCGTCGCACTTACTGCGCCTTTCCTGTTCCTGCGCTGCGGGCGACATCTAGTCGACCCGCGACAGAACCCATGCACATTCTCAGAAAAAGGCCAAGGCCCGTAAGGACCCGGTCCAGGTGACAACAAAGGTCCTATACCCCAACCCCCGGTTGACGCCAAACTAATAAACGTAAAATCGGGCGAACCCATAGCTCGGGTTTCTAAGGAAGACAGAAAGACCAAGAGCCAATTCCTGAGAACAAGTACACGGTTCGGAGAAACGACAAACGATGATTATAGGGTAATGGTGAGAGAGTAAAATAAAATGAACCATTATTAGTTAGAACAGCATTATCGGGCTTCGTGGAAAGACACGCTAAGCAAACCGCGAACATAGCAACAGTATAAAATATAAAAAAGAGAAGAAACAGAAGTAGGGATTCGCAGGGCGTTTTATATAGTTAAACTTCCCAAGAGGAAAGTATTTTTATCTCCCAACAATTAGCGAAGCACCGACTCACAAAGCAAGCTCACGTTGGCCCCATTAAATATCCCAGAAACCAGCTCATCATTACCTGCCTTTTTTTATTTATTCACACCAAAAGCATCACATCATGAGAGCAATTATCTTTTCCAAAAAAAAAATGGGACAAAACTCAACCCAGCTCAATACCAGAGTCCTAATATTTTAAATTAGTACAGTAAACACGCGCGAGAAAAAAACTTCAATAATATCCTAATACCCCCAAAAAAGCATCCAATCGAACTATGAATCAACGAAAAAATATGTGCAAGTGGTACCGGAAACGGACAATCCCCCCGATTCTAATCCCCCCGCCTCTATTCCCCCCCGCTCTAAAATCCACGACGTTTATTCCCCCCGGTGTCTAATTGCCCTGAAATAAAAATCCTCACTCACTAAAATCGCCAAAAATGCAAAATATCACCAAAAATGAAAAAAAAATTTTCAGATGCAAAATTCATGGCTTTGAATTGAAATCTGTTCTTTTTTACCACCAAGTACAGTGTGAGCATATATACTCGTATACACGACAATGCTGCAATGATAAAGTTCCTTTTTTTTTAGTTGCGAATATATACCAGGTTTTAGAGACAAGAATAGGAATGCCGTTAATGCTGCTCAGAAATCTATCTGCAAGATCAGATAATCTTTTCTTGGTGAACCTTTCCCCCTTGATTCAATTTTTTTCTTTTTTTGTTGGGAGAGAAAAGAATTGAAGATTTTCAATTATTACCGTGGAATTCTACACAGCAAGCAAGTTACACGTTAGCAAAAGAAGAGGGATGCCAACCTGAAGAATCTGTGTCAATTGTTCAACAGGCGCAAAATTAGTCTGGAAAAATTTTTGAAGGGAACAGCTGAAGTGGTGAAACTCAGATACAATTCATAAAATTTTTTTATTGCTGATGTGGTTATTTTTTTAAACGTTTTTTGTTATTTTTTCAATTTTTACTTTTCTTCAAATTTTACGTTTTTTTACGTTCTTTTAAATGTTATTCAATTACTTGTTAAATTCAATTTTTGTCACTCAGAAATAACAAAAAAAATTTCCAACCATCAGTTTTTTTTATTTTTGGGGGAAATTGTACATCGGGGATTTTTATTATCGGGGATTTCAACAAAAAGCGGGGAAATTAAAATCGAGGAAAATAACACTCGGGGATTTTTAAAATGGGCATCTTAATTTTGGGGATTTTTGTGACCGGGATTTTAAAATCGGGGATTCTTATTTGGGGTAAATAGAGGCAGGGGGATTGTCCTACACCTAAATGGTACCTTGCAATTTGACCACCCACAATTCAACTGTCAAATTTGCTGGGAGGTTGACTCTCAATTTGACCTCTGCCTTGCAATTTGACCTGTGGAGAGCCATGAAACATCAAATGCCATGCAGAAAACATGCCATTTGACATTGTCTTGCAATGTGACCCTAGTCCAGCAACATATCAGGGTTGAATTGCAAGGTACCAACTGTATAGTCCTGTACAGTTATTTCACTTCAAAATTACAGCATGTGATATACTGGAACTTGTAAGAATCACATACAAGATTTAAAGATGCTACACCTTTGCTCATAAAATAATTCTGAGTCTTGGGCTTATTTATTTCTCCAGATAGTGTTTTATTCTTCAGCATACATTTGGAATGGATTCAGGTCAAAATATCCAAAGTTTGTGAAGTACCATCATGTTTTTAGTCCTTGAAATGCAAGGATTTTGAAAAACAAATTTGTTACAGTGAATTCTTGTTCAATCATTTTTTCAAGGACCCTGTAATTTTCTTGTCTCCCTGAAGCAAAATTTACATCACTGACCTGAACTTATCTTTTTGAATGTCACATTGGAGTTGTTGTTATTTACTGTACTTGGAACAATGGTACTGTATACAATACTTTATTCAATTGAATTTGACTTCTCAATTGTTCCAGAACAGATTTAGTCAGTAAACCAAGACACCTTCAGGTCCAAAAATTCTCATCAGAATGGATGAAACCAAATTTACTTGATACAGTCAACGTCTGTTAAGATGCCCCCAATAAAGTGCCACCCTTGGTAACTGCCAAAATTTTGATTGAAACAAATCTCCTCCATGATAAATTCTATAGAAAACCTTGATAAGATGCCATCTGCCAGCATTAGTGATGAAACAAAAGGGCTGTTTCCTATTAGTTTTGTCTTTGTTACAATGCCAACATTGGGGTAGTATTATAATTTCTGTCAAGTCTCGTATTTTTAAGAATTAAACAAATAATAATGATTACTTTGTTGAAAATTTTTGAACAACATATTGACCTAATCTTATAATTTGAATAAATTGATGCAGCAAAATTTATTTTCTGAAGAAGTAATCCATTGATCACAGCAATAATCTTTGGAACATTACTGAAGTTTCTATAAAAAACCCGGAATCTGCGTGGAACCACTCGGGGACTTTTGGAGGAAAATTGAGTAGTTTTGATCAAATAATTTAAAATTAAATATTGGATAAACCACCAAACCCTTTAAACAGCCAAAATTGCTGTGGACAGATGGTGGCACCTTATCAAGGTTTGAGTGTAATAATTTTGAGATGTCCTATTGGCTTTGTTGTAACGAGTCTGCTGTAAATACGGCATTGTTTGTTCAATGGAAATCCCCTTTGTTGATCATTTCACAGCAGATTCAGGTCTGGGATGACTTTCGCCACGTTGCAAAAGGATGGAGTCAGGCAGCCACCGCTTGTGCTCATAACCCCTTCCGAGCAGACAGTGTGGAGGGAAACTGCGCTCACTTCCTCTCTGGGTCGGCAGAACGGAACCCAACAGGTGATCCCACACTTGGATCAGTTCCCAATCCCGACAGCTCATACGGGGCGAGGCGTGGGGAAGGACGGTCGTATTAAGGCGGAATCGAGAGTGGTTCCACGCAGCACGGAAAATCCCCCAGTGTTTGTCATCGAGCCAAATGCTGGGTGTTCTCCGTGGTATACACAATATTTGGACGAAACACGCGAAATCACGAGTCGAATCCAGCCCGAATCCTTTTTTCGCGCATTTCCCGTGAGCAACTCCGAGAGACTTTTNTTACTTATTTTCATCACAATAAGTTAAGAAAATGAAGCCTTGAAACTCAATCGAAGAGGCAGCGAAGAAGGATGCCAGCTACTGTAGAAAGGTAATAATGCTTTCGTCAATGCCAATGCTCTATAGGAGCAACGTTTTAAAACCAAATCTGAACATTAATCATAACTTGAAAAAGAAAGAAAAAACTCGCAATGAAGTCTACGCAGAAATCCTTTTCAATATCGTGATGCAGTGAAGTTGAACTGCTCATGATCAGAGATTGGGACCTCCATTGTCCGCAAAATCCAAACACGCGCATCAGGGTATGGTTTATTTTATTGCACTCGCTTGAAAAAAAAAAAAAAAGACAGATTAGAAGTGGATATAATGTAATACCTTTTCATTTCAACCGAAATTTTCTGGAAATCGCAAAACGAACACACACACACACACACACATGGAAAAGTCCGATCCCTTTCAGGAGGGGTTCAAAAGCGACATACGTAAAAAAAATTCAACCCAACATGAAATCCTAATGCTCAGGAAGAATCGCGTCCGATAGAACAACGGACAGTCGCTTCATCGGAGGCGCGAAAAATTCGTCTTGATGCCCTCCTCGCGTTTCAACACGCTCAGACGAGCGGCGATCACGAACACGGTTCTGCAGAAATAAAGAACGATAGCTATCAGAACTCGGAAAATTAAATAACCCTTAGTCCATTTAAACACACGAACGAAAAATTAAAAAATTTTAAGGAAAAAAAACGTAAATTACAGCTATCTAAAAAAAAACTCGAAATAAGACAATATCCGCATAGAGAAGAATCCATTTTGAACATCAGTAACAAAAAGCGCCTCACTTCAAATTTCGTTATGCTGTCTAGAATTTAGAATTTATACAACTACCATCACGCATTTTTATGACACGCATTAGAAATAATTTATTCGGAAAAAACAAGAAAAATTATTCATGCGGAAACGATCGCAACGCTATCGTAACGAGATTTCATTTTACGGTAAAAGAACGCACGAGTGCCCGAAAATGTTCGTACATAGATACATACGTAAGACATTTTTTCAAGCGCAGCATGCTTAATACTTCCTAAAATGATGCTAAATTTTATGTTCAAATAGATTATATATTCTACTTTTAATTTTGGAATATTGCTCAAGTTGAACTTTCACATTTTTGCGTCAATCATAAAAAGAACTCCAACGGCTAACACACACACCATCAAGGCAAAAATTCGTTATGAGGTTATTGATAAAAATTCCTTTGTTAAAACGAAATTTTTATAAAATTGTTCCAATGGAGTAACTGCGAGGAACAAGAAAGAATTCGTTATAACGAAGTTTTATTGTATTACTATTGGCGCCTTTTTGATACACAAATTATTTTTGGCACACTGTGACGTGAGAAAAGATCAGATTTTCCAGAAAACTTTCTCACAGATGAAAAGGCCAAAGAATAGATGCCCACTTTAGAATCGACGTCGTTTTCACTAAGATGAATACAGCATTCGGTTCGGCAAAGAATTGAAGCATACAGTATATCTCCTCAGTCAGTTTCGATCGAGATTCCGGTACAATACGCAAAATTTCAGAGTAAATTAGGAAAAACAATACAACCAAAAAACATGCAACTAACCGCTAGGGAAACTGAACCATTCATGGACGCACTCATCCGTCGCGAACGAGGTGGCCGATCTTGGTCCTCCAGAGATTTCAGGTTCACATCAGGTGGAACCAGTCGGAAGTCAATCATTTGTACTCGTGGTTCAGCAAATTTCATGCGACCGAGCTTCACCTTGGGCTTCAGCTGCTCACATTCCTTGACGAGTTGCACGTCACGGCGCTTCGAATTCGCTGTGTGAAACTCGGGTGCAAAATGCCCCGAAAGCGCATGTTCTTTCAGCAAATCAGAATTCGTGTACTTCCTCTGAAAAAAGGCAAAAAGAAATAGTCAGAACATTCATCCGAACTCCAGTTCAGCCGGATTTCCACGCGAAAACTTCACCGTGAAAACTAATGCACAGATTTAATCAGCAAGGAACTGAAAAATACTTTTTCGAGTCCTTTAATCATCATCTACACTTGAAAAAATAATTTCAAAGAATGTAGAAGGATTTTTGTGCATCATGAACGCATTAAAATTGGGAAAATAATCAAATAAAATAATAATGGGAAAATAATTGGGTAATTAAGAATAAATAAGTCAAGTACAGCAGCATGAAGGACAATTTTCAATTCAGGGGACTGAAAAATAATAGGGGGGGGGGGGGCATCTTCATCTTTAGGACGCATCCAAATCAACATCTCACTAAAAGTAAACTCCAACCTGAAAGTTACTCCTCAGCAAAAACTTGGCCCACACAACGAAAAAAAATAATTCGTCACACGATTCAACGTTCATGGATGTTCGAGTTGTAAGTCAGCGCATTTACAGAGCAATAAGATCATGTCAGACCATAATCATACGCTGCACTGAACAGAGCTGTTCTAAGACTACTAACGACAGATAAGATTAAGAAGACGCGGATTTTTGATAGACAAATACTTAAGCACAGGTATTTAAGATTACAGAAGAGCCCTCAATTTTACAGAGTCTATGCTTCATTTTTTGTTGTTTGGCGAAAGTGATTCCATAAAAAGGAATTTTTATCGAGGAGCTTGAAAAGTACTCTTCAACATTTCCTCGTGGAAACAAAAGCCCTCGCTGAACGTTGCCAGAAAGAACGAGTATAAATGCTGCTTATCACTTCATTACGATGTCCCTCGAGTTTATCGTGCACTGAGTTCCTTGTATCCGTGAAAATACGCTTTCGACGAAATACGTCATGCATTTTTTTTTCATTACCGAGGCATTTTTTTTCAGTCAACCACCAATTCTTCCGAAAAAATATGAACTCAACGATTATGTCGATTGGATGAAAAAATTACGAGTCATCACTGTACTGTACTTGAAAACTCACAGCATCAGGGGGGCAGTATCCACACGCGAATGGTCCTGGCCATATATGCTTGGCAATATGCTGCGTAGCTTCCATTTCTGAATCAAATTTGACTGCACAGATAAAGCAGTGCTTGCCACAATCACGCAACTTGCCAACTATTCTCTTTTTGGAGCGAGATGTATGATTAGATGCGCTGGGCGCCAGGAATGGCCTTTCATTCACTTGGTCATCACAGGAATCCGCTCGAGTCAGATCGAGATCACGTTTAAGAGACAGCCTCCAAGCAAATCCATCCTGAAATTGTATTAATAACACCGTATGAACGTCTTACTTCGGGCTAAATTATTTCCAAAATTTGTCATCTTCCTTTTGCTACCCCGAATCGGCATCTCTATGAGGTATAAAGGTTTAAATAATTTCGAACGCATTTGCATAAAACGATAATACTTTCAGAAAATGATTCTCCCTGGACGGAAATACAATCTGAATAGCTTCAGAAGACTGAATATATGAAAAAAAAAAGATTTTGCCAGTCAAGAGAATTTACCCACAATCTCGTGATCGAATTAAATACGAGACAGACAGAATGTGAAAGTATGCAACAGATCATTATGAAAAAAATTCTTGAACACTCGACAATTATTTTACGAAATTGAAAATTCCGAGTCACGATTTTAAAATACCTGGAAAATCCTTCAAATCTCAAAATCGGAATTTTTTTTATCCCTTCAAACCGTGGCATGCGAAAGAAATTTGGGATAAAATGCCTCACCTCAATTTCCACCAGTTTTTGGAGATCATTCACACAGGAACTACAAATGGACTTCAACACAGTGTCAGCCCGAGATCCCTTCAGGTACGCAGATACACGGGTCGACTTCGTCAAAAGAGAAAATCCCGCTCTGAATCGCGAATCTCCAATTTTATCAACACAGACGCGCGAAGCTCCTAAACAAAGCGTGCAGTCGCTCAAATTCATACTGGAAAAACTGAAACAGGAACGAAAAGGAAGGCAAAGAGTGTCAGACGCTGACAAAAATAACACGGGCATCACAAAGTTTCAACGACACAAAATCTTCCGCACGTAGCAGTGACAAACAGGATGACCGCTTCGTCAAAAACTTTTATCACAATCTGAGAACATGAAAAAAAAAAACATTGCACGACGAGTACGAGAGGTGTCCGATTTCCGCACGAAGTGTAGTACCTATTCCGAAAAAATGAGAGGTACAGTATTTTATGATCTTTGGGACAATACATACATTTCAAAAGGGAGGATGATTTTGCTTTACTTCCTAAATAAATAAAAATTGAGATTTTCCACCCAACTCCAAAATTCACCCTCAAGATCAAGATGGAAAAAAGTAAGTCGCCGTTTTCACCTATTTTCTGCCCCTCATGGATCAATGAGTCATAATTTCAATTAGTTCGAGATTGTTAGTGGTCTGAAAAAATGGCACAAGCCTTTTTCGAGTAAATCCTAAAGAAATTCTTCACTAGACGTCTGCGAGAGTAAAACTAGCTTTTTCATCATCGGCCTTTATACACAAAAAAAATTAAATCGAAATGGACCAACACATCAATTTCTTAAGATTTCAAAACAATACAGCATTGTAGTTCACTTACGTTGACAAAAATTAGAGGAAACGTTCCAGGAAATTCTCCTGCGACGAACAGTACAGTATCTTTAAATACTGCGACGAAAGATGGTTTCCTCGCTGTCTCCTTCAGAGTCAAATGAAGTCACGCGCAACAAGACAACCTCTCTTTGAACCCCTATATTCTCATAGGANGGGTCCAAAACCCGTTCAGATCAATCAGAACACTGACAAGCACATCTCCTTGTCCACTCCTGCACAGGTCCTTCAAAGTGATACGATCCGGTTCCTGAGGCTTGATCATATCAAACAATTCGTCCTTGATATCCGAGAAACTCACAGGGTCCTGGTCCAACGACTTCAGCTGGTCTTGGATAGCCCGGAAGAAATAAGACAGCGAAAACGTGGTCAAGTAGCCCTGATTGCCGACATCGAGTATTCGGAAGAAGTACTGCAAGGCCTGAGGTTCCTTGCGATTCTCCAGGGCAAGCACGAAATCGAGGTAGGTTTTGTAATCCATTTCCCCGTCGTAAGTGAGGCATTCTTCGAAAAGTCGCTCGATGAAAACCGACGTGAGAACACCAGTGCCGTACCGCTGAAGTTCTTTTTTGCTGAGCATTCCGTTGTGATCCTTGTCTAGATTCAGATACTGGCCATACACTTTCAAGGCGGATGGTGCAGAAAACCAGTTCGTCTCCTAGAAATAAATTATTCGCAAACGCCAAAAAATCAAGTACAGGCACAGATAATTGAAAACGGAATGGACATTACAGGTATCGAATGTTTGCTCGAAAAAACAGTCAACTGATTCAAATACCGTAGATCAAAAGCAAATTTGTTGAAGCCGACTCAAAACCTGAGCCGGACCACTATAAAAACATGAAGAGTGGAAATAACTAAATTTCAGAAATAATTACATTACAGTAATGTAATTTAATTATCCGAGCCAGAGAAACACTTCACTTGTCAAAAAGTTTCAAATTTTAGAGAACCACTGTTTCCAACTGAAAATACTTGAAAACGGGAAAAAGGAACACCCGAAGTAACTTCATAAAATTTCAGAACTCGAACACAGAACAGTCCTTCAGCCATCCACTTCAGAAACTTAGAACAGATAGTACTGGTACTGTATCTGATAACACAGAAAACCAGTTTGAATAAAAATAATTAAAGAAAATTTGTTTTTATTGAGAAACAGACATCGAATGCTCCTCTTGGAGAAATCCAGACAGTTTAATTACGCGATAGTAGCGCATTTGGGTGACATTCCTAAAAAGTTTCAACAACACGTGCGTCATTCCGATTTCGCAATTCTAAATGAAGTTGGATTTTTCAAGTGATAATTAATATTAATAATTAGTATTAATATATTTAATAGTTAAAAATTACAGTCCCGCTCTTCACGACTCGAAAGATACATTTCCAATCTTTCACATGCGTTAATGTTTCATACATCGAACTAAAATACTGCATACAACAAATAATACACGCATAAAATCGATGGAGCTCTATCAACCACGAATTTCAAGCTTAATGTCTTTAAAGACAAACTTTGAATAGAGAGCCGGTTTATTTTAGAGAGGGAAGGGAAAATTCTTTCAAATTTTTCCGCGTCAGCGTATAAGTACCTCACCCAGGGGGTATCGTTGTTCCCACGATCAAACATAAGTAAACATTTAACTCGATAGCATCAGCAGAGCAGTTAATAAAAGCTCCACGCGTAACTGGATACCGCCATGACGGCACTCA